GGGTTCACATTGGGTGAGTCTGTGGGGGGAACAAAGGGCACTGGATCACAGCTCTACAGGTGGCTCTCTGAGTAGGCTGGGTCACAGTTGATGGATGGGCCATATGCGACCTTGTTAACAGATGTGTCATCTGTGCGATCACATGATGTAGACCTTCTCAGCCTGAGAGAAGTTAAAGACTTCTTTGGTTCTTGGACACACTATTTTGTCATCTTGGCGGATGGACAGAAGGGACTGAAAGTGACAATTAGCAACGGTTATTGAATTAGAAAATACAAATAACACTTAAAAAAAAAGTGAAAGCATTTTTAAAATGCTTTCACATTACTTTAATCTACTTTCCTGCCTTTCATAATGCAGTGTACTCACATTGTAGCCGTATACATATCCATTAGGCAGCATCATTGGAGGGTTGTTTTCATTCATGACTTCCCCAGAGATCTTACACACTAGTCTAGAGTTGGCACAGTGGGCCATGGGTAGCGGCTGGGCTAATTTGTTTAAAGATTTACTGCACACTGGGCAGTCTGGGTTCTTAGAGGTACCATCCTCCTTGTAGCACTGACTGAAATGAGCATGAGGTTAAGGACCAAAACATGACTTCTATTAAGCATATTTCTTCATTTATGATGATAATATGGGTCTCAACATAGTAAAAATCAGTCAACTCAAACTCATTGTAGCCACAAGGTGCACATACGACTGAGCTATTGGGTTTTTGTTTGTTTTCACAACCTTGCTTTATTTACACTAAAATAATTTTGCGTCCTTAGTTTAACAGGGGAGTTACAATCACTGGGGCAAGAGTAACTAAATACTGAAAAAAAGAGTATGGTAGGATACGGTGTCTTGATGGCAGACAGACCAGCCTGCAGAGTGATAGTGAAGACAGAGTTGTTTCCCAGCTGGTGCAGTCTGTAGTTATCATATCGGAATTGCTGGATCAGCATCTTCCAGCGGGCTGGATCCAAAAGATCCTGATGGAACAGAGAGAGAAAAACAGAGGAAATACAGAGTTTCACACCAATAGCCATTTAAGATCCAGTAGGTTCTAAGAATAAAGACAGACTACAGACCAGACACATGCCCATAAAAGTAGGATTTGCTAACTGGTTACACCGCTCTTTTCTGCCATATAGTCCAGTTCTGGAAGCAAATAGTGACATACAAGAATCTGTTGTGTGTTGTGCTTAAAAAGTAGTTTCACTGTTCCTCTGGAAACAACGCCATCAGGGTAGTGTACTCTATCAGGAATCAGAAATAATCTCTAATGGAGGATCTGGGGCGCAAGTACCACTTTTTATTTTTACAGATTGCACGAGAGCAAATGTATTTCTGATCACATTTCATTTGAGAACACTTACACGCCATCTACCAATATCCACAGACATTTCTGTGAACAAGTGTAGCACCTCGAAGTAATTTCGCTTTAAATAATAGTCATGCAACTGTACTTTCATCCCAACTCGTCAATGTGGTGCAAATTATCATCACCCACCCCTATGCAAGTGAGAAGGAACAAATGCATTTACAATGTTGTCTCATATTTTATTTATTAGCAAGCAATAAAAGTACAATCAGAATCTCAGCTGACAGACCATAAGTCCTGGGCAAGAGTGGTTTCAAAGAGGCAAATCTTCACACACTATTTACACATAGCATTCAAAGCCAGGTGGCCAGTATCTCTCATGTTATCTCATGTTACAAACACAGAGACCTCATATACACGTACATGTATATAGGGCTGAATATAAGGATAAATTTGACATCAAAGTTGGGCTGAAAGTACAGCCTGTCAAGAAGAAAGATTTAAAGAGAGGTGTGTTTATTTTCTGTTCCATGATCAACTCGGTCAGAGTTCCTGTGTTGTTCCTGTCTGAAGTGCAGTTGTGTGTCTGTGTGTCCTGGGGCAGTCCGGAAATTACAGTAAAGTGATTAATGGCTCTCTGCTCACTAAACACAGCCGAGGGAGGTGAGCAAGAGTGTTTTCGTTTCAAAATATTAATATGTAATTTTACATTTTCACATGAATGCCATGTAGAGGAAAATGACGGCACTTTGTTCCAAAAGATACACAACTATGATTTCAACCACTGAGAAAAATAACTCTAATATTTTAGCTGTAAATGTGCAACCCTACAAACATGTTGGCATAGCAGAGAGATTCTCAGTTCTGCTTCTGTCGCACTGGCACACGAAGCTGGCAAAACAAACTGCTATCACACTAGATTTAATTGGTCCATCTTCTTTGTAGGGGGGGAAAAGTTTCTTGAGATAAAATACTGTTGTCATGATGCCACAGCACATGTTTTTTCAGCTAAAATACTGTTAGCAAATGTTTTTCAGAATATATTTGTCTGGCACTGAAAATTAAAATGAACACTGCTACTGAAGACAGATACCCAAGGATAAGTTTAAAGTAGCACAAGAGGGAACTGATTTTATATTTTAGACTGACAAGAGGCCCTCCAGTGGCTGGTCTGTTGCTATAGCTCTTATCCCTATAACGTTCCACAGTGAAGTTCTGTGTGAATTACTTCTTAGAAACCCCGATGAGTATACAGCCATATTGTTTGGTTGCATTTGTGTGAAAAGGGCCCGACCACATAAAATATTATAAGTGTATACATTTACATTGGTAGAGACAACAGGTGTTACCTTGTATGGGGAGATGTGCGTATCTGATGGGAAGGCCAGCATGCCCATCACCTGCCGAACTTCATCCAGCTGTCCACCCTCTGCTTGGCTAAAGTGTTTCCTTGCATGTCTGTCATAGACACAGAGATGCACAAGATCTATTTGCAGGCGATACCTTACACGTGTTTAACATGTGACTGGCTTTAATAATGATAAAATGATAGAAATCAAGTTAGTGTAAGGGTTTAAGGTGACAGTTTGTAATGTCCACATGTATGTAATAATACAAACAGTGTGTGTGTGTGTGGCTCTGTATGCAGTACCTGACTGCATCCATGCGTTTGTTTTGTCTGATGAGCTCGATAAACTCCTGGATTCTTAGACTGAACTCAAGACAACTCTGCCAAGGAAATATGTTATTATGTTAAAACCAGTGAAAAGCTGCCAAACCCTTAGTGTTTCAGTTCTGATCCCAGGCTACACTGTAGCATGGAGGAAACTAACCTATTATGTAACTGCTGTGGTGCATGTAGATTCCAGAGTTATATATGTATATATATTTTTTTCAGCCACTGTGGGTGGAGCTTGAAAAACTACCAGACTAGTGCTCACATTGGCCTGCACCACTTAGCTCTTAGCTTCCTAATCATCCTGTGACCAAATCAAACCACTGATAATACAATTGGAAATGTCATAAATGTTCAGTAAGTATTTGTCATTGACCAGGTACAACAATGACTGCAAGGATCAGCTAACTGGGAAGATTTATTATACCTTGGTGGGAGTCTGAACTCGACCTAGTGCTGTCTGGTTTAAAAGGATAACCTTAAGATTAACACTTTCATTTGGTGCCAGGGACAAAACATGCAGGAAAAGTAATAAAACCTTAACAGGTTTGTTTCTGAGCACAAGCTGTGTTACACGGCTGATTGTTGCACTACTGATTATTACTGCAGCACACAGAACCAATAGGTTTGTTTGCTTGCTTCACACGTTCATTTTCATCCTATGAAGTTTGAAAAAAGTATCTGTCAGGGATCAACTTAAACTTTCTGAATTCATAAGGCTAAAAATGTGACTTTCAAAAATAAACTACCTTCATCTTGCGGAGGCGAGACTTATTGTCATGGCACCAAGCAAGGCAAGTGGCTGTCTCCTGCCTCTCAAGAGACTCTTCCACCTCCTTAGCTGTGAGGAACATCTCAATGTTCACCAGATCCTAAAAATATGGGAGAGTAGATGTGTTAATAAAAGCAAAAGGCATAAAAAAAACATAAAACCAGACAGAAAAGAAATAACTGGATAACAACTGTTGAATAAACTCAAACGACACAATGATTCAGTTATCTGAATGACACAACACGCACAATGTGCATAAAATTTGTTTTAATAGGGTCAATGAGTATCAGTTAACTGTGTCAGTGAACTCAGCTGCCAGGAGAACTCCAAGCTCCTCTGACTCAGGCTGAGACAACAGAACATTCACACTGACCACTACCTCTATGCCGCTCTGTCTGGCCAGTTTAACAGCTGTATTGTAGTAGCCGCAGCGCAGCAGATGTTCAACCATCATGCGGTCCATGCGTTTCTTCTTCCACAGGTTTACAGAGGCTGGCTGGTCGCTGCTGTGCTCCTTCAGGTGCTCAATGCGCCGTTTACACAGCTTGGCACTCTCGTCTTCTGCCTGGATGGACTCGGCAGCCTGTGCAACACGCACACACGCACACGTGCGCGCACACACACACGCACACGAGAACAATTATACTTAAAAATGGTGACTGTGCATAATGTAAAAGAGGAATACAAGATCAAATGAACTGAAAAAACTTAGAAAAAAATCAACTGGACTAGATTTCTAGGTCAAAGACGTTTCACCTCTCATCCAAGAGGCTTCATCAATCCTGACTGACTGGTGTTGAGCCGGAGATATTTATCCCCCTCGGTGTGGTTTCAGTCCTATGAAGGACAACAATGTCCCCTAACGACTGAGATCTCAAAACAGGATTGTAGATGGATGACAAGTTGTGTCTTAGTCCACCACCCACTAAGACACAACTTGTCTTCCATCTACAACCCTGTTTTGAGATCTCTGCCCAAACATGCCCACCAGGACAATAGGCGTCAGTCGACAGGGGAGGTTTCAAAGACAGGTAACGACTCTCACAGATACTGGGCTATAACGACTCAGTCGTTAAGGGACTGAAACCACACCGAGGGGGATAAATATCTCTGGCTCAACACCAGTCAGTCAGAACTGATGAAGCCTCTTGGATGAGAGGTGAAACGTCTTCGACCTAGAAATCTAGTCCAGTTTTTTCAGTTTACTATGACCTGGATGACTGAGAATCTGCACAGACAAGATCAAATGAACAGAAAATCAATACCCATACTTGTTATAACATTATATCACAACACCTGGCGAAAAGCTTTGTCTGTTAGGAGTCCAAAACTCTTAATAGACCAAGCTTTTCTCATTTTGGGGAATTTGTGCTGTGAAAATCAACCAAAGAAAGTCTGATTATATTTTTAATGTTTATGAAGATGGTTTTTAACAAGAACATACCCTGATGTTTCTATAAACCTTTTAAACTACTTCTGATTACTGCAAACTGGTTTTGTGTTCAGAGCCTGGCTGCATTCACACTGAAGCCAGTCAACAAGATTTCTCAAAGCTTAAACACTGACATCATCAGGTCAGACTAAACAGTGAGGTCTAGTATCACTCAATCTTCAAATTCGTTCATGCAGAGTTTGTACTGTATGTGAAAAGTACCTGCTGGACAACATTTGGAAATGAGAAAGAAGAGAATTGCAAAAATAGTGTTTTGATTTGTTGTACCCGGTACTTTTTACCATACTGACTCTGAGAGACGAGACAGTCCAAGTAACTACAAAACAGTGCTGATTTATTCCATGAACACAGGCAAAAATTAACATTACACGCTCAGGTATCTTGCACCTCCAAACTGCTCGCAGGCAGATGTAAGATGAAAGACCCTGAACCCACCAGGCCTATACATTATATCCCCTCGGTTGGGCTAGCCCCATACTACACAGGAACGTCAACTGAGACGTCTCTC